GTCCCGGACCCGGTGGCTTAAAACTCACGCCAGGCGCGTGTGCGTGCGTGCCCAAGATCCCGAGAGGAGAATGGAGGAGAAGGGATTGCGGCGTGACCATCCCCCCTGGGGGGTGATTTCTCGCTTTCTGTCTCTATGTCTCTCTCTGTCTGTCTGGCGAGCGCACACGCCCTACAGTGAAAATCTCTCCAAAAAAAAAAAAAAAGTAAGTTAAAGGGCATAAGGAAAAGGAGTGACTCAATACCTGTTCTTCAGATTCTTTACCAAGGCAGTTCTTCCTCTCCACTATGGCACATCCATTCAGGGCCACCTTTTAAGGGAGGTGCAATCCTTCAAAGCCCAGGGCTTCCCCAGGTGGGTGAGAGGAGGAAGCATGCCTTACAGAGGATACTGTACTTCGAGGCATCCCTGCCCGCATATCCCCACTCTGCCTTCTTCCTCTGCGAAGTGTCCCCTGAGAAGCTCGGGGCCTTACCTGCCAGGACCTCTGTTCTCTCAAAGATACTGCTGCCCTGGGCGGTGCTGGACATAGACACCTTGTTGGACACATCATCGTCCCCATCGAAGGGTGAGATCCTTTTGGGGATGACCTCATTCTCCTCCAGTTCCTTGGGTTCTGTGGGCAGCCGGCTCCCAGGCCCTGAACTCTCAGGGATGTGGTTGTCTAGAGGCACCTGGAGGGGTTAAGGAAGAGACACAAATAGTGTGTTTAGGGAAGGACCCAGGGCTGCGGACAGGGACATTCAGTCAGGTGGAGAATCCGGTTCTGCCATCTCTCTGGCTGAACTGTTTGGTCCCAGAGCAGAAACTGGCAACAACCTCTCCACAATCAAGCTATGCAAATCCTTATCCTCAACTTTCTTAGCACATCTGCTCCAAATGGGAACCGGAGGTGACCAAGGGCATGGGGAAGCAGGTGTTCCCACACACTGCTGGCTTGAGCCTTCTAGAGTAACCACTCCGGAGGCAGTCTAGCAAAATCTTAGACATCGCTTGCCCTGCAAGGCAGTAATTTTGCCTCTGAAACTCCATTCTAAGGAGCTAATCAGAGATCGTACATAAAAGATGCTTGCTGCAGTAATTTGATCATTTGAGAATATCAGAAATTATAAAGAACTTCTCCAGTAATCAGGTGAGCTATTATGCAGCCTATAAAAATGACAAGAACAATTATGTGGGGAAATACTCATGACTTCTATAAATGAAAAACGCAGTACAAAGAATTGAATATGTAATTTGGTATCAATGCTGGGGAGTAGCCATAAATGTACAGATGGGGGTCCAGCAGGTGGCGTGGCAATTAAGGCACTGGACTCCCACATGGCTGACTGTGGTTCAAGTCCTAGACCTGGTAGCTGACTTTCTCATTCTCTCTCTCCCTGCTCCTCTTCTGGAAAACACATATGCTCTATAGTAAATTTTTAAAATAATACTAATTAATAAAATTAAATAAATAATTCTTTAACCATAAAAGAAAAGGAAAGGAAAAAGGAGCTGGTGGTGACAGTGGTTATCCTTGCAGGGAGGATGACCTGCCTGAGAACCGTGATTATGCCTGTCCAAAATGAGCCCAGAAGTAACGGGTAACAAGTCTTGTTGCAGAGTGGAGTCAGAGCTCTTATTCTGCCCATGAGGTTGTATTTCCTGCCCATCTCACAGGCCTGGAATATACAGGAGCAAGGGGAGAGGGGCAAAAGTGTGTAGCTACTTACCAAGGGGTGGGGCACTTCAGGGAGGATCCTGGGGTCCTCGGAGTCATCTGTAAAGTCCAGATGGCAGTGTGAATGTGAGGTCTGCTACCCCAGGTAGATGACTCCCCACCTTCATGGCTGGTGGGAGTTCTACTTGACAGCCCGCCCCAGGGTGCTTAGTGACTGACAGTGAGCATTCCCAGACCCACCTCAGCTGCTGCCTCTGGTAAGTGCAGCTCCTGAGACCTGCCTGTAGGAGGACCTGCCTCTTCATTCACAGAAATGCTCCAAACCCTTGCTCTGTAGAGTGTGGATCCCGGGACCTAAGGAGCCTGGGTGCTCGTTAGCAATGCAGAAACGCAGACCCACTACATCAGACTGCCTTGTAACAAGATCCCAGGGGACTACAATATGAGAAAGACTCTAATTGCAATATTAAATATTAGATACGGCAATATTAAAACATGTACTGGGTAACCCTATGTGAGATGATGGATATGTTAATTGCTTCACCATAGTAACCTCTTAACTATTGGGTTGTTGGAAAAGTCATGATGCATTTTTGCATAGAAAAACAGAAAATATATGTCATAACTTTTCCAACAACTTACTAGCTATGTATTCCATAACATCATGTTGTATACTTTAGAAATACACAAAATTTACATTTTTAAAACACACACCCATACACTCATTAACTGAGCATCAGAAGCTTTAACTCAGTTTAGTCTCCACAACACAGATACATTGTCATCATAATTCCCAGCCTGCAGATTAGGGCAGTCGCAGGGGTCACACAGAGGGGAAGTTTGTACACTGGACCATGTGACCCCAAAGCTCAAACTCCAAATCATGAACACCTCCCTGCACAGAGGAGAGAGCCTTCTCAGTAGCTGTCGGGTCTGAAAGTCAGGGCCAAGATATCAAAGATGACCGTGAAAGGTACCAGACCTTGGTCCGGCCCCCTGAGGCCTCCATCCCTGCACCTACCCTCCACCCCCACTGAAATGGGAACTTGTTCTGGGATCTTCACCCTTATCTGCCCAGTACACCCCTCCCACCCACTCCCACTCCTGAGCTGGCATTTTTCCTTTTTGAAGGCAGAAAAATATTTTATGTGTCTTCCTTTCCCACATCCCCACCTTGTCCTGCCACATGTCCCCATCCCAGGGGTGGTGCTCAGAAAACTCAGAGCTACAGATGAATTCAAACTAACAAACAACTCACTCCAGAGTCTCTGGCATGGGAAGGGTTAATCCAGTGACTTTTGTTTCCCCTTTGAGAAGTGGAGGAGGGGCACTGTGGGAAAATCCCTGCAAAAATCCAAGTCTCCAGTCATGGTCACTCTCCTAGTTGGTAAGGCCACCATCCCTCCACCGCACCCTCCATACCCAGATCCCCAGAGCCGGACAGCTCGAAGTCATCAGGCTCCTGCCCAGGCAGCCCCACGTCCTCATCGTCAGGGAGGGCTCCAGAGAAGTAGCGGCCCTCCAGTTCCTGGGGGTCGATGACCTCAGTCTCTCTGATCTAGAAAGAAGAAAGAGACACATCAGCTCCCCACACTTCCCAACAGCAGAAAGCTAGTGAAAACAGTAGAAAAGCTGGGCAGCAGGAGGCACGGTGGTTAAGGCGCTGAATCTCACACGGCCACCTGCAGAGTCCCAGACCCAGTGGCTTGAAAGATGTGCCCGGCACGTGTGCATACATGCCCAACATCCCAAAAGGGGAATGGAGAAGGGACTGCAGCATGACCACCTGCTCCCCAGGGTGTGTGTGTATGTGATTTCTCACTTTCCCTCCCTCTGTCTCTGTCTGACTCTCCAGTGAGCTCATAGCCCTAGAGCAAAATAAATAAATACTATTTAAAAATTTAAAAGTACTAGTATTCATATTATGTCTATTACTAGGTACCATTTACTAAACACTTGCTAGGAGCCCCTGTTCTTAATACCTCTGAAGGCATGTCACAGACCAAGGAAACTGGGCATTAGCACATTTTAATCATTTCCTTTTGGTAACAATAGCCGATGCAGGAGCAAGGAGTGTGCACGGGGCTTCCTGCCTTCAGAGCCCGCGGCCCTGGCACACAGCGGCCCCAGGAGACTCCTCTCCAGGACTCTCTGATGGGTGGCAGCTGATTCACACACACTGCGAGTGGGCTGCGGGCTCTGGTATTGCCCAGCTCGGGACACCTCTCCCCTCTGAGTCAGACTGGGCTGGGACAGACAGGGCTGGCTCACCCACACCCCAAGACAGCCTCGGGTCAGGGCGCTGCCCGGACCTGGTGACTCAGGAGTACATTCCCATGTTCAGGCTTGTCTCCCAAACAGCTCCCACGGATCCCTTTTCCGCCAGCACGGTGCAGGGCACAGAGGGCCCTCACCTTCACTGGCCAATCCCTCTAGTCCCACCCCAGGGAGACCCCACTGGTCACCCACAGCAGAGTCCGAGGCCCCCTCCAACCAGACAGCTTTCATCAGAATAGAATCAGCAGAATGGAAAACCACGCTCCCTCAAGAGCATAGGAAACACTCGGACACCTGCCACCTGCCGCCTCCCTCCCCTCTCGCTTCTGGGCTCAGCCTTCCGTCTGCCACAGAGTAGCAGTCCCAGCAAGGCTCATTACTTCATTCATTAATTCAAACATGAAAGTGCCTACCGATGGCCAGAGAAATGGGGTTTTCTATGAAGTTCAATACAATCACTCCCTACAAGACAGCCTCCTGTCTCCAGATCCCTAACTGCAGGAGGCGGGGTCTGCTTAGAACCAAAGAATACCAGCTGGAGGCCCAGGGAGGGCCTGTCCTCTCCCTCCAGGATGTTGAGAGAATTCGAGCTGGGAAGAGGGCAGTAAAGCACCCAAGGTCACACAGGGGAGCCACAGAGGAGAGAAGCCAGGTCTGTTTCTGTTTGTAACTGTCCCAGGCTGAGAACGCCAGTAACCAGGGCAAAGTCGAGAATGAATACTGGTTCACAGGAGGCCCAGGAAAGCAGTTTCTTGGCACCTTTGTGGTACTCTCTTCACTGGCAGGAGGTGGGGGGGGAAGGCAGGCAAGGGTGGAACCTGACCCTTGGGCCCCCTCTCCCTGGATTCCACAAAGAGTGCAGGGTCAAGTTGCAAAGAAGACAGGAGAGCACCTCTCTCTCTTTGGGACGGGAAAATCTCTTGGCACACACGGGGGCGGGGCGCTAGGAGGGGTTAAGGCATGGTTAGGGATGACTTCATGACTCGGGAATCGGGAGCTGTGGAGCTGGAATTCCAGCCCCCGCGTGCGTGCGCGCGCGCACACACACACACACACACACACACACACACACACAGAGCCCATGC